CTCTAGTATGTTCTGCACGTGCATAAAAACGGTATAAAACGGCTGATCAGACAAGTTGATATCACAGCAACAAAAAGAACACAAGATATGCCACGTTTGACAGCCATCGAGAGAGAGAGAGCCGTTGGAATGGTCCAACAAGTAGCGACACACGTCGACGTCGCCAGAAGGTTGGGCTGCGCACGCATCACTATCACCAGGTTGATGCAGCGGTTACGTCAGACAGGTCAGACGTCAGACAGGCCCAGGAGTGGAAGACCACGAGTAACCACGCCCCGTGAAGATCGTTACATTCGGGTATTACACCTGAGGAACCGCACCGTAACAGCGACGTCCACGGCGGCTACAGCACTGGGACACAGGATCAGTCGACAGACCGTCTACAGGAGACTACGGCAGTATGGTATCCGGCCACGTCATCCCTACCGCGGACCGCTCCTGACGCCTCGACACCGGAACAACAGACTGATCTGGGCCATGCGAGTTCGACGTTGGCAACGGCGGGACTGGGCACGTGTTATGTTCTCTGATGAGAGCAGATTCCTCATCTTCAAAAACGATGGACGGCAGCTTGTATACCGACGATTTGGTGAACGTTTGGCGCCTAACTGTATCCAACAGGTCCGGCCGTTTGGAGGTGGAGGGTTAATGGTTTGGGGTGGCATATGTGGTGACGTCAAAACGAGGCTTGTCGTAAATCGTGGAAACCTTAATGCACAGCGTTATATTGATGACATCCTACGGCCTGTTGTGGTGCCCTTTATTCAGCAACAGCCTCGTGGACTCCTTTTCCAACATGACAATGCAAGGCCACACACAGCAAGATTGACACAGAACTTCCTTGCCAACGTACAGGTTTTGCCATGGCCCGCATGTTCACCGGACATGAATCCCATCGAGCACTTATGGGACCACCTCGATCGGCAAATCCGACGTCGCCGTGTGCCTCCAGTCAACGTCCGGACTTGGAACGATATCTCCTCGAGGAATGGCAACGCATCACTCCCAACGTCATCATACTTTTGACGGCATCAGTCCGTAGGTGTGTTCTGGCATGTATTGATGCTCACGGTGGACATACCCGCTACTGACTTGACTTTGTGACGTGTGGTGTGACATTTCCCGTTGTTTCTGTGATCAGTGCTCTAACGAAATGTTCTTTTTTCGACCCCACCCATCTTTAAAGGCTTGTCATATTGGTTTTATTGAAATGAAATTTTTGTACAGATGTTGTGAAAGGATTTCTCAAAAGCATAACACCAATCCTAAACTTCTGCATTGTTTAGTTTTTCTTTTATGTCGTTGCAAACAGGTTGTATCGTTTCTTTTGGACACTAGTTTATATACCAAAAGTTATATGATATAACTAATTTATATCGATATTACTATAGGACACTAATAATATAATATAGTAATACCAATTAGGAGACACAATGATGATCGCTCACATATGCCTTTATTAGATTCTCAAAATATATTTTTATTTATTGACAAAAGGTATTTATGAGCAGGGGATATACCAGTTATGTATGTTACAATGGTATATCCACCTAACACTTGATCTGAGTGTGGGTGGGTTTTAGGGTTGTAAAAAAAAAGATTTCCGTGGGGAAGAACATCCTAATGAGTCAAAGGGGTGCAACTCGTATCTAGATAGAGACTGGGTAATACAATCAAGTGGTAAACGTTGAAGAGTTGCTTTGTGGCAAAGGGGTGCAACTCGTGCCTAGCGACTGGGTAATTTCTGCAAGCGACCATTGAGCTAGACTTTCTATTCGCCACGACATGAATACGTACAACCAAGATAAAGATTTTTGCTGTTGTTCCGGTGGTTAGGGTCGGGCATTCGTGCTCCGACGGCCCGCTTAGTCCACCTAGGGTACGAATTCGAAAACTCAATTAGAACAAGAGAAAAAAAAATCCGACGAGTTAACCAGGGTCACCAGCCATCTTTGTTCTGTAGAAAATTATTATAGTAGCCGTGTCTCCAGAAATTTCTTTTTAAAACTAGTAGGTGTTTGTTACTGGTTTTTTTAAAAGTCATTTCTGGTAGATAATGTACTAGTCTTTCTGAATATAGTAGCTTTCATCTGAGTAATAACATCAGAACTTGGATGCACCTGGATATTGATTGTCAAAAATTCTACATCGACAATAATACAGGTGGCTTCCCGGAAGTGGAATTGATATATAGACACACTCTTCCCTAATATTGTCAATTTTTTTCCTTCCAACCCTATTGCACAATAAAATGAAAGAATAATAAAATATCTGTATTTATATTATTGTATATACAATTCGTACAAATATTAAGAAAAAAAATATTAAAAATCAAAAAATATAATTATTATAAATTATATACAATTATAGTAAACCTAATATAGATAGAAGTTTTAGTCTTCAAATGAGACCTACAACAGAATTTGAAATTGGATCTAAAAAATATCTAAAAAATAAAATATAATATATATTTAAGGAATGAATGTGGATCTTGTTATCGTTATGGGGGAATATACGCTGGTTTATCATGTGACAAGACAAATGACCCAGCGAAGCATAAAACATTCCCCCAATCACTGAAAATGAAATCTAGGAAACCAGAAACCCCTGAGAATAGTGAGTACAGGGACGCTCTGAAAAGAGGTCTGAATTTTTCCGAGGAGAAAACGGATAGAAAAAAAACAAAGATATAAGTTAGTAGGCAATCTAACAACTGAATTCAGCGGACTCATTATAACAGTATCTCATTTATCTCGAAATAAATGTCATAAATGTATATGGGCATCGTGAATATGATCGTAAAGGCCTATTCTACAACCAAATATACCATCATATTCAGCCCCTATATAATATGATAGATGTATTTATATTGAGTGGAGATTTTAATCTTATTGAGTCCAAGCTAGATAGCAAGTCCGGTGAAATGAAATTCCAACCACCACTGAGTAAACTCAATTTGTTTAAAATAAAAACTGAAATCTTGTTGAATTTGGACTTGCACTTGATCTGCCATGTTAGGCCACTTTTTTTCCAATTTTGCTGTTTTTGTTTCTCTTTGTCTGCAGAAGAAGAAAATTGTCATGATCTGACTTATCTTGCTCACTTTCAGTATTTCCGGTCTCTGGGTTCTGTTGAATATCCTTGTCCCCGGAAGCCGAGAAACCACTCAGAGCATCAGCGTAGGATTTCTCGCCTTCCGAAGACACAGTTCTTTCCACCGTCCTACGAATTTTTAAAGGACCCTCTCTCGCCATATGGCCAACGTTTCTACAATGGAGGCATAAGGGGGTCTGTCTGTACATCTCAATAGTATTCTAAATGGCCTTTCACCGTCAACGTTTATTATGTAAGACACTGATCCATATTCCTGTGAGGAACATTCTAAGGCAATCCTCCTTAGTCCGGACTTAGTACCACTCAACGTATGGTGGGCGCCATATTGTTCTTCCGTGACACTGATTACATGGCCATACTCGGCGAAGACTTTACCTATAAACGAATTGGACACGAAAGGTGGTATCCAGTGCACTCTAACGTTCATGATTCTCTTATCTGCGTCGGTGAAGGAAAATTCCTGCATTTTGAATTGTTTAACAGAAAGTAACTTTTCCACGAATTCTTGTTTCGAAAGAGTGACAAACCACACTTCCCACACTACCCGGCGAAGACTTTGCCAATAAATATATACAAACCAGCCATGAATAACATTGACAAAACTGAACACAAAACTTAACATCTGAAACAGAAAACTATGATAATTATATATATATATATATATATATATAAAAACAATCGGATTTTGAGTTTTTCCCCACCCACCCCCTTACTTGGACTTCCCTGGTTTCTGCTCGATTTTTTCCCTGTTGTTGGCTCTGTTTTTTTTTACGTCAATTATGAGTCGCTGCTCAGTGTCGCTATCAGAGGATGAGTCCATTTCCTCAGCTCAATCGCCCACTGGGTCTGGGGAAAAGAGATGGAAGGGCGCTTCACCTTTTTCCACTGTCATTTCCTTGGCCTCCATTCCTTCGGTCTCTGGGACTTGCTCGATAACTTGCTTGGTTTTCGTTTGGATTTTGGTTTTGTAATTTTTGGATTCTAAAAGTTTAGAGTAGACAATGGATTTGGTTTTAGCTGTAAATTTAAGGTTGATATTTCGGAAATTTGTTAATAATGTTTTGTATGCGTTGTGGAGAATCAAGGTAAACTTGGGGTAGGCTTTGCTTGTGTTGAATTGCCTGAGTGCTGGGCCCATCAGTAAAACATCAAGGAAACTTGTGAAAAAATGAATGTGTTAAGTAAATGATTTTTTCACGAAATGTGAGGCTCCGGTTTTTCCATTTTACTAATTTTTTCCTAATCTTATTTAAGATTGGATTCCAGTTGTCGTATTGGTTTGAGGGGCCGAAATATATTCCTAGGAGTTTGATTCTGGTTTTGATGTGTGGTTAACTGGTTTGGTATGTGGGCAGCCATTTGTCCGAAAGCAAGAATTTCAGTTTTATCTTTGTTGATTTTTGATCCCGAGGAAAGTTGAAAATCATTTAGGGCTTGATCCAAGTGGGGGAATGAGTTTTGGTCTGTGATAATCACTGTCAAATCGTCAGCATTCTGAACTGTTACGATGGGCAGTCTCTTGTCACGTGACCAGTCTGTTTGCAATATAAACATAGTGGCTGCCTATCTGAGCAAGCCACGAGTATACGGAAAGGTCTGACCCCTGGCACCATCACAATATGCGGGACAGAATAGTATTGTGCATCGAAACATTCCAAGTTTATACGTCTCAACCCAGATTTAGTGCCTTTCAACAACTAGCTGGCCTAATTTAATTTTTCTAATCACAAAATTTAAACGATTTTAAAGAACAATTCCCACCCCCGTCGAACGGTTAGAGCCAAAAGACCAAATACATTTACCCCCAAAAATATTTTCGTAAAGTTTAGTTTGTTCAATATTATGAATATTGGTGTCAATATCAATAGCCATATCTTTCAGATCTCTCGATATTACTCTTGATTTCTGAATAGATAATAAACTACGACAGTTGATTGATACAGTCTTAATATTCGCCATTCAAGATTTGTGATTAGAAAAAAGTGACATAAAATCAAACTAGGTAATAAGACAAGACATGGACAGACATGAGTATAAACTGAAAGGACTGACAGGCGATAAACAAACATAGCCCACCAAAATAGATATCGCTCACTAACCCAGACTGAATTGTGAGCGAAATTGGGGGTACCTTGCCAAAAAAGACAGACAAACTTACTAGTCGAAACTGACTAAATAAAAGCTTCCCTTACTTGGACTTCCATTTGATCTACCGGCTTTTTTTTACTTTCTTTCAATCTTTGTTGTTGTCTATGATAAGTTTTCCGTCGTCGTCGTCTGATGTTGAATTATTGCTGTCCTCGGAATCCATTCCATCAGCCCAGCCCCGTACTGGGTCTAGGAAAATAGATGGGTGGGTTTATCCTTGTCCTGTGATAAATTGTCCTCGTCTATCACATTCTCGGCCTCGGGGACCTGTTGAATGGCGTTATCTCCAGAAGCCGAGAAGCCACCCAACGCGTCTGTATATGATTTTGCGCTGTCACCAGTTCTTACGAAATTTCGACGGACATTCCTTTGCCATATGTCCCACATTCCGGCAATGGAGGCACAAAGGGGCTCTGTCCGTACAGGCCAGTAAAATTCTAAAAGTCCTGACACCATCAATATTTATAATATGGGGCACACAACCATATTCCTCGGGAGAACATTCTAATGCTTTTCGTCTTAAACCGGATTTCGTTCCATGCAACGTGTGGCGGGCGCCATATTGTTCTTCCATGACAGTGATAACTTTCCCATACTCGGCGAAAACTTTCTCTATGAAATTATTTGAAACATGTGGGGGGATCCAGTGAGCTCGGATATTCATAATACGCTTATCAGCGCCAGTAAAAGAAAAAGTTACATCTTGCATCTTGAATTGAGATAAAAGTTTGTCGGCAAATTCTTTCCTCGAAACTGTAACGAACCACTCCTCCGTGCGGTCTAACTTCCATAAAGCCTCAATAGCACTATTATATCCCAGGTCGAGTAACCGTAACCTTCACATTCTTTTCTACTATAGAACTATCAATATCATTGTCTGTAATCAAAAACTTCCACGTTTTCTCCATTGTCGTTGGTCAAACGTATGGGTTAGCAACCCTAATCAGCAAAAAACCTTCTGTAAAAACTATAATATAAACTTTAACTTTTGAATAAATTTATTTCATGAAACAAGTATGATATATGTACATATGAATGATTACAAATGAATTAAAAACATTACAATCATACACTTTCATACACCCATTCTCACACCACAATTCTCACACAACCACACATTTATTCACCTTATATTTAAAATCAATATTTATTAAACAATAACAAGATGATTAAAGGTTATGTTCATTATGTACAAAATACCTCAACCATAATATAATACATAATAAAATTGAAACAAACAAATAAATCAAAAATTATATACAATTACCAGATCACCAAAACAAACAAAAGTTGAAATATGTACATATATAAGTAATTTAATTACTTTTCAAAGTCCCTACATGTTTAATAAATACATTGAAGCAATAGATAGATATATCCTAGTCCCTAACGTTACTACAAACAATTATTCATTTATAACATCTATAAGAATTATATTGTCTGGAAAATATCAAAACATTACATATTATATTATTACATACTATATAAAAACTGTATCATATAACACAAAAGATATCTATGAAAATATTACATAAAATAAAAATGTCTTATGCATTATAAGATATCATTACAGTAGCTTATTACAATCTAGATCGTAGTAAGCACAACAGCTTTTTCATTACAAATTGTACCTGTGCTGTCTTGTAGTTTATTAATTTGTTTTCTGGAACCATTGTCCAGTTCCTGTTTCCTGAAGATGTCCAAATTAGATTCATCACTTTGTTCAAATGGAGTTTTTGATCGTATTAATGTTCCTTTGAACAAAGTGTTTTGAATCAATTTGATATCATCGATCAAACTGAGATGTAAGTTGCCAAAGTGTCGATCACCGAGGTTTTGATTATTTTCAATGTCGAGCTTTTGGTGTTGTAGCTGGTTAAGCTTGTTTTTCAGCTTTTGAGCTCGACATTTACTATATTGAACAGAGATACATTTGACGTGCTGTTTACCAGCTTCCCACCAAGCAAGCTGATCCGGATAATGTACCATTTGCTTTTGCCAGAAGGGGCAGAATTCTGTTATTTACTGGTGTAATTGGCCTCGAGATCCTTCTCTCGGTGTCTACTACTAGTAGCAGTGTTAGCAAAGTTAGCAATACTATTTTTATTATGTAAATTATGACTTTTTTATATTGAACATTATCTTTTTTTATATTTTCTTCCCTTTGTCGCAGCTCCATTTCCTCTTTACTACGATCGTAGTGATCCTCACTTATGTCCTGCCATTCTTCTGGTAGAACATCAGTTTTAGTTGGGATAGGAGAAGAGTTTGGTGTAGACGTCTTCCAGATGGTGTTAATTGCAGAGGCTAAGGAACTAATGTTTTTGTGGATTGCTGACTGGATGTCTGAAGTTTTGAATGGCGTGTCAGCAATCGTTAGATGAGCCGGGTCTGAATCATTATCTGGTATACCAGTGATGTCATCGCTGGAAGGCCAAATTGGTGGATCGATGCCGTAGTTAGGGCAGTCTGCAGAGGTGTGGCCTTTCCCCTTGAATTTAGAGCATTCCAAGCCGCTCTGTTCATTTGGCACCTCTTTTGGTTCAGCAGCAGTTTGAACCGTCACATTGGGGCGAGAACTGAGAGATGGGCATGAAGCCGCCATGTGTCCCTCTTCACCGAATTTAAAGCATAGTTTAATGGGCTGTGGTTGATTCTCGTACTGGATCGAAATACGAATGCCCTTAATGTTGATGCTACTTGGAATTGGCTTTTTTATTTCTGGTGTAAATACCAGATGTACCCCGTTATACATATTGGGGTTTCCTCGCTATGTACACCTCTTGATCTTAGCCGAGGTGCGATATAGGTTGATGTAGAGAGGATGTATTTCGGGTCTAATTCATAGGGAGCTCCATATATGGTTATTTTCGTGTCTGGTGGTCTATTTAACTCCTTGACCTGGTTCGCTCTATCTAGATGGAAAGAGATATCTGGGACGATAGAGGAACCGTCTTTAGTAGCCATTTTTATGATTATTGATTTCTTTTCTATATACTAGATATATTTTTTTTAAATTATAAATGGGAACTGTATTAATATAATACAGAGATAATTGTATATATATATATATATAAAAGGAAATTTATTATTATTTATTATTATGTATATGTTTTATTCTATGTGCAATAGGGTGTGTGAAACAGAAATTTCTGCCGTCCTAGTTTTTTTTATCTTCTTGTGCTTTTTGAAAGCTGTTTTCCTTTCATTTTCGATTCAGAAGGGCATCTTTATACGGGGAAACGGAGAGGACAAGCGGCTGATGTCGGTTGCGCTCCTCAATCTCCTCTGCGCTCTTATTTTCGTCTCCATCGTTTATATCTACCCACCCCTGCTGTATACTAACATCAGGGAAGGGTGTTGAGGTGTCCCTAGGTCCCCTTACAACCTGCTCCAACGCCCAATAAATAGCTATCCTAATATCGGGGGTTCTGTTTAGCGAATCTACCTCGCTAGCCCTTTTGATTTCATAAAGATTGCCACGACGTCCTCTTCGCGTGTGAATGATATCAAAAATATCGACCGCCCGATATTTTGAAATCCTTTTATAATATCCATTGGGGCTCCATTTGTTGCAACATCCCCTACATATCTAAGGATTTAATCACACATGGCTCGACAGGGCTCATATGGATTGTAAATTTTCTGTCGATTAGCGGTCGAGATATTGTATTTTATTAATATATCTTTTTTTATATATAGGCTGAGTGAAATAGTAAAATGGTTATAAAAATTTTAAGAGGATAGAAAAATATGACCACAGAAATTTGTATATCTGTACAGTATATTATATTTATTATATATAACAAATACGGATACTCAAATGGATGATTGTGGTTGATGTTTACTCCACGGGATACTATTTCCGGGAAGCCATTTGAGATGGTTTCAACAACACAATATTTGTCGCAAGTTAATCCAACTGCATCCGATAAACGGTGGATACTACACAGCTGAAAACTATAAGATATGAAGTCTAATGTACTTGTCATTAAATACATCTATTCGTTTAAAACCATTTCAGTCTAGACGTTTAAATCGATTTCTTTGATGACTGACTTCAAGTACTACGTGGTTTACAAACAATATGGCGAGCAAGATAGCATAGATTCTGGTTTACTCCGTCATAAATATTTCACTATATAATTTATATATTTTTTTATCTTAATTTTCTAAAACGTACCCTAGGCGGACTTAGCGGGCCGTCGGAGCACAAGTGCCCAGCCCTTACCACCGAAACAACGAAAAAAAAAACCTGTCCAAGAAATCTTCAGTAAAAGGCGGAAGATTTACTTTTTTCTTTCTTTTTTTTTTTTCCTTTTTTTTTTTTTTTTTTTTCTTTTTTCTTTTCTTTTTCTTTTTTCTTTTTTTTTTTTTCTTTTTTTTTTTCTTTTTCTTTTCTAGCACTCAGATATAGTGTCTTAAAACACACAGGCCCCTGTTTGTATCATCTCATTTATTTACATTGACACTATGTATGCTTTCTCCACTGTAGAAGGTGTTAATTCCTGGTTGGTTACTCGTCTTCACCCATCTAGGGGATTAGGGGCTATTGTAGTCTCTAGACATAGGGTTGTTACATGCAAAGTTAGTAGTCAGAAAGGGTGTTTTCTTTTTTCAAAGAAGATTCTTAGATAGATTTCGACCATTTGGAGCACACCTTTTTTTTTATCATCATCGTGCTTCTTTTTATATATATTTATACATTTTACAAAGTGGTTTGGTACTATATAGTATAGCACTTACAATAAGATGTTACATGTTGGTTAACAGAGAGGAGTAAAGGAAAATTACAATTTCGGTTTTTTCCACCCCCCTTGCTCGGACTTCCATGCGATCTTCCTGATTTTTTAACTTTCTTCCAATCTTTCTCATGGGGTTTTTCATTATCAATGTCTATTTTTAGTTTGTCTTCGTCGTCATCCGTTGTTGTTTCGTCGCTGTCCTGAGAATCCATTTCCTCGGCCCAGTCACGTACGGAGTTTCGAAGGGCATTCCTTGGCCATATGGCCTACATTTCTGCAGTGTAGGCAAAGAGGTGCCCTATCGGTACACGCCAAAAGTATCCTAAAGGGCCTTACACCGTCAATGTTTATAATATGAGGCACTGATCCGTATTCTTGTGGGGAACATTCCAAGGCAATTCTCCTTAGCCCGGACTTCGTACCACTCAAAGTATGGCGGGTGCCATATTGTTCTTCTGTGACACTGATTACGTTGCCATACTCGGCGAAGACTTTACCAATAAACAAATTAGACACGTAAGGTGGAATCCAGTGCGCTCTAATGTTCATAATTCTCTTATCGGCGAAGGTGAAGGAAAATGTAATTTCCTGCATTTTAAATTGCTTTACAGAAAGTAACTTTTCCACAAATTCTTGTTTCGAAAGAGTGACAAACCACACTTCTGTTCGATCCAACCTCCACAAGGCCTCTATCGCACTGTTGTATTTAACTTTCAAAGCGCTTTGTACAGCAAAAAAAACCATTTCTCTACCTGTTAAATTGTTGCCTGGCCTGGTGACTGTAATTTTGACATTTCTTTTTACAATCGATTCATCAATATCATTTTCAGTTATCATATACCGTGATGTTTTCTCCATTGTGATGTTGTTGGTCAAGTTATCAGGTTAGCAACCCTATAGTTTCCATAAATACCTGCAAGTAAACTTTAACTTTTGGATAAATTTATTCCATGAAACAAATATGATATATATGTACATATGAATGATTACAAAATGAATTAAAAACATTACAATCATACACTTTCATACACCCATTCTCACACCTAAACTCTCACACATTCACACATTTAAACATATATATAACATAGCATTATCAAAATTCACGTTTGGAACTTTTCATCCCCTTTAAAGCCAAAAGAGTTTCTGCCAATTCGATTTTTCCTTCTATTAGATCTCGACTATCGTCGGTTAATTGAGGTAGGTCTTCTAAAAATTCGCTAAATAAATTTTCATCGATGGTCTCGGCCGAAAATAAATCCTTATAAAATTGCCTACATGTTTCTAAAATAGAAGGAACATCATTTACTAAATTGCCATCTTTATCTTCTAAAATTGAGATAAGTTTTGCTGAACCTTTTTGATTTTCCCGTTTTAGAAAAAGACGAGATGCCTGTTCTTCATCTTGTAATTTCCTAGCTCTCGACCTAATATAGGCCCCTTGAGCTTCCTCAGACTTTGCTCTAGATTCTGCGTCTGCCAAAACTCGATAGCGCCTCTCCAGGTCAAAAATAACGGCACGCTTGATCCGAGCCTTCTTTTTACAGTATTCTTTAGTTAAATTTTGAATAGAAATTTTCATACCCTCCCACCATTCCAAAGAAATAACTTGCCCAACCAAACTTTTCTGCCAAAAATCTGTAAAAAGAGAAATATATGCTCGGTCGTGCAAAATTGAGTTGTTAAATTTCCAATATCCCTCCCCAATTTGAATTCCGCCCGAAACGTTGATGGTAACAATTACATAGTCATGGTCTGAGGGAGCACAAGGCAGAACCTCAAAACTTACAAGATGTTTTAAAAGATTTCTACTTAAATAAAATCGGTCTAAGCGACATGCGACACCGGAGCCCCGCCATGTCACCGAAACAATACTAGGGTAAATATGTCGATATGCGTAATGAATAACATTAACAAAACTGAACATAAAACCACCCCTTATTCGGACTTCCACGGTTTCTAATCATTTTTTTCCCTGTTGTCGGCTCTGTTTTTTTTACATCAATTATGAGTCTCTGTTCACTTTCGCTCTCAGAAGATGAACTACTGTCCTGTGAATCTATTTCCTCAGCTCAATCGCCCACTGGGTCTGGGGAAAAGAGATGGGAGGGCGCTTCACCTTTTTCCACTGTTATTTCCTTTGCCTCCATTCCTTCGGCCTCTGGGACTTGCTGGACAGCGTCGTCCCCAGAGCCAGAAAAACCACTCAATGCATCAGCATAAGATTTCATCTTTTCCGTCTCAACATTCCTACGAATCTTAGAAGGACATTCCCTTGCCATGTGTCCTACATTGCGACAATGAAGACACAATGGAGGCCTGTCTGTACATGCGAGCAGCATACGGAAAGGTCTTACTCTATCAATATTAATGATATGGGGCACAGAACCATACTGTTCGGGAGACACTCTAGCGATATTCTCCTTAGCCATGACTTTGTCGCACAAAGCGTATGGTGGGCGCCATACTGGTCCTCCACCACGTTAATAACATTGCCGTACTCCGCAAAAACTTTCTCTATAAAGTTGTTAGAGACATATGGGGGGATCCAATGTGCCCGAATATTCATGATCCTTTTATCAGCGTCCGTAAAAGAAAAAGTTACCTCGTTCATCTTTATTTGTTTGACTGCTAATAATTTTTCCACAAATTTTTGATACCATCACATACCATTCTTCCGTTCTGTCCAGTTTCCACAGTGCTTCGATGGCGCTGTTGTCTTTCACTTTTAGAGCAGATTGTACGGCGAAAAAAAACCATTTCTCTTCCCGTAAGCATATTTCCTGGCCTGGTAACCGTGACTTTAACATTCCTTTTATCTATAGATTTATCTATGTCACTGGAGGTGATGCAAATTTTAGAAGTTTTCTCCATGATGTTGTTGGTCATGTTTTCTGATGGGTTAACATCCAAATCAGCAAAGTTCTTCAACCAAATCTATAATATAACTTTTAACTTTTGGATAAATTTATTCCATGAAACAAATATGATATATGTACATATGAATGATTACAAAATGAATTAAAAACATTACAATCATACACTTCATACACACCCATTCTCACATCTAAACATTTATATAACATAGCATTATCAAAATTCAAAATATAAAACAATAATCAAACAAAGTAATGAATTCATTATTTACATACACCTTTACCATATCAATCAACAATAATTAATAAGTATCAAAAACAAATGTTCCACTACCATGAATTGACAAACAAACAAAAATATCAAAATAAAAGTTACCACAACTTATTTACATAAATATTTACATCACAAACTTCCATTCACGCAATCATACATTTAAACATAATATACATGTATAACCATTCCTCGACACTTGAAAAAGGATAATATTTCGAAAACCACATCATTGTTAGCGTTATTTATCACCTAAATATATATGTTTGTGCATTTTCATCTTGCTTTATATATCCCCAAACCCAGTTTGACTTATTTGCATAATTTGATCCCAACATTTTCACGCTAGCATATACAGTTTCCTCCTGTTACATCCGCTGTACATTCCCTTCTAACCCCAAGTTATTTTCATTATGCTCCCCAACTACAACAACCACTGGCAAGAAGCCAGAAATAGAAACACTAATCGTCAACCAAACCAATATCACGTACCCTACAACGGCCCTGTCTTCCATCGACCTCTACCACCTACCAATCGCCGACCACCAACCAATCCAGCTATATCCCACCCCATCGCCGACCTACCTACAACACAGCCTACCAATCAAGAGGTAACCATCGACCTGACCAACAACAGAAACGACTACCAGCCCACCGACGCCAACCAGTCCCCACTCATAAGGAGGAAGAACCCTTTGTGAAGGTGTTCTTCCAAGTTTTGCAGTGCCTCCATCATTTGGCAATCCTTACCCTTCAACAGCAAGGCCAACCAGCGTTTACCTTCAAACGAATATTAGATCCCTCAATCGGACATGGCTCTGTAAGGTTACGCAGGTCCTGATCGACCATTACCAAACCACACTTCAAGAGAAGCTGACCACCATTCGTACCAAGTCTTTATCATCACCTGCCGTCGACCGCATCGTTTCTCATGCCCTGTCTTGGGCCCGTCGCTCCTATGGGAAACGTCTCACTCAATCTGTAATCTCCAAATTCTACCAAACAATCAACGAAACAAAAACCAGAGTAACCATATCTCTACCAACTGAAATGGACACTACACCTGCACCATCTAGAGCCACCACGCTGCCGAACCAAACCTCTAAACGAGCCCGAAGTTCACCTACTCCTAGTCCAGCAGACATAGGTAAACGCTCTCGTAGAGAGGGCACACCCCTTCTCTTTTCACTTTCAGACTCGTCTTCCCCTTCCACACCATCTAAATCTTCACCACGTGATCCAGGATCCGCCAACCTTTCTTCCTTCTGTGCGTTTTTGGACCAGCAAACCACCCCTCAGTCTCCATCCAAGTCGAGACGTGTATCCAGACCTTCCCCTCCTCGAACCAGATCCCAGTCCGTTCCCAATGCTACAATTCTAACAACTACCAAACCAGTACCAATCACACCGTCGACGACCATTATATCCGCTACCAAACCGTATTATCACCAAACCAAGGACAAATCATTATGGAAACTACCTGCTCTAAAGAAATCTACCCTAATAATTGGATCATCTAACCTGAATCGAATTACCAAAACCAGTTCAGACACCGAAATACATTCTTACCCCGGTGCCCAAATCCATCACATACAGTCAATCCTGGAATCATACGACCATGATCCCAAATCTACTACCATTATTCTTCATGTAGGCCTCAACAACCGTGATCAGATACCAAAGACCTCCTTTAACCAAGCCTAGAAATTAATCGCCACAGCCAACAAAACCTTCCCAAACTCCAAGATCCTCTTCACATGTATACCCATTTCAAATAAAATCTCGAAGAAAGCACAACAGAACCTCAGCACTTTCAACAACATGATGATGGAGTCCAGTATCAACAGCGCAACAATCTTACCACCCTACGAAGAAGAATTCGAAACAGTTGATAATCGTCATTGGTCTCCAGAAACAGCAAACAGCATCTATTTGTTTTGGATACACCAGCTTCAAGCATCGAGTAAGTCTTTAAACTAATTACTGGGGATAAAAATACTGAGAGGCCACCGCTAGGCCAAACTGTAGTTAACTTGAGCAGCAAAATTCTCACACCCCTTCAGCATTCAATCTTAGACCGTGGACTTAAGTTTATTCCCACACCAAAGATAGCTAACTTGAATTATCTCCGACCATCCATGAACG